TTATTGCAGTCTATAATCAGCTTGCCCTGGGAATCGTCGGACATCGAGCCGCTCATGCCGTCGCCCTTCATGGAGTATTTGGAGCGGCGTTTGCTGGGCAGCTGGGGCAAGTCGGTGTGGTGTTTCCTGACGTGGACGCCAAGGTTTCCGCGCTGCTTCGACTTATACGGGCAATAGGGACACTGGTGAGATGGCTCCTTGCCACCGCACTCGACATTCTCGTGGCGACGCAGCGTAGACTTCCAGCGATATTTCTTGCCACAGTGACGGCACTCGTACACTGGTTCGCCATCCAGGCCGATCGCATTGGGACTGGTGATGCTCCCGTTGCTGCTGCTTCCACCATAGTCACTCAATGTGAACTCCAGATTGCGAAAGACTTGGGCCTGGGCTTCCAGTATGGAGTTGGTGGAGCCTCCGTGGGCACTCGAATGGAACATGTTCATCGAGCTGTTGCCAAACTTGCTCCCACCCTGTTCCATAAGATGTATATCGTCAAAGGCATGGAAGCGGCCATCATCTTCATCCTCCGTCGATGATCCCGGCTCGTTCTCGCACTCCGAGTGGCGCAGATCCCGTTCCTGCTGCTTGCGCAAGAGGTTCTCCAATATTTTGGTTGGCGTGGTCTCGATTCCAACTGCAGTCTCGACCTCCTCCTTGATGCGACGCTGAGGTGCTTGCTGGCGCATGATCTCCTGCGCTCGAATCTGTTGCTGGAAGCTGTGCAGACCATTTCGCATCAATGCTTCGGCTATGACAGCCGCCTGTGGCTTCGGCGTTGGCGCAACTGGAGCTGTGGTTTTGTTGGCAACCAACACAGAAGTTGGTATGGCCTTCACCCCACCCAGGCCAAGGCCCGTGGGGACCGCTGTCTTCAGAGAGTACTTGTTTCGCGGATGAAATGATGCAGCGCCAGCGGCAGCGCCCATTATCTCATCAGCATTCAAGTTTTTTGAAGCCGTATCGGAAGCGGAGCCGTAGACGGCAATGGCAGCTATGGTGGAAGGCTCCAATGTCTCGCCGGAAGTGGGAGACACCTGGCCATACTGAGTCACCTCTGCGTGGTCCAGTTGCTGCTGCTTGGGCACCTTGGCCGACTTAGTCTTGTAGAACTCGAACAACATGTCCGAGACCTCAGAGACAGACAGACGCTTACGGTGAGATCCCGGGGCCTGGGCCTTTTGTTCGTCGCGCTTTCTTCCATTGAGAATGCTTCGCTGGAAACTGCGCTGAATCTCTGCTGTTCCCACTCCTGGGGCGGTGTTCTCCTTTCGGCTTAAGTCTGCAATCGGAAACATATTTTTAATTAGTTTTTGCCAAAAACAATTATTTTTTTTTAAATTTTAGATTCGCCTCTTTCGTTTCTAGTTCCTTCAGTATGAGCTTTGTCGAACGACTGATGACTTGTGACAAATGAAAAAGCAAGTTGTAACTCTCGGGCTGCTTGGGTTAATGTTAGGGTTACGGCATGGAAAAGTGTTAAATGAAAGCATGCAACAAACTAAAAGCAAAATACGGTAAATTATTAGGTATATTAAGTAACGCAAACACATGTAATTTTGGTTTAGAATTAAATAAACAAGGGTACACGTAATTTTCACTTTTATTAATATTTTTAACACATTTTTGGCATAAATTAAATATGTAGCTTTTTTTTTAGGCGGAGCAAATAATATTAAAATTGTTTTTGGTTTTTTTTTCTGTGGTGCTTCGATGTGATGATGTAATGATGATGTTGGAGATGTTTGTGGTGGGTGAGTTTTTTAACCGAAACCATTTTAAATGTATCTCATTACCTGCTATATCTGTGAAAATAGAGAAGAATAGGTTAGTGATGTCTTGAATTTCGATTCAATGTTTCGCTGGTATATCCATAATAGAGCTTCGTCGGTGTGTGTCCCCGAATCCACCTGTAAATAATTACAAATTCAGATTAATCAAATGGTTTTTAATATATTTTTCCAGTGCTATTTGCTGTGGCCGGTGTTTGCTATTCGCGGATGGCTGGGGGCAGAGCTTTTGTTTATGCACTAATATCACAGTAGAATATTTATATAATGGCTAAGTCAAGCTTTGCCAGCTTTCCCTTGCGCCCGCCGCCCACGCACAACCAGCCGCGAAAAGCATCCACACTGCAACACAATCGAAACGGCACTAGTCGACGTAGCCTAGCTTACAAATTTCCAATCCCATCCAAGCACGAAGCGCAGGCAACAACGTATCCGAGTCCTAAATCCTATGCGCAGCTGCAACGCGTACACACACGCACACACACACACTCTCAGGCGCTCGGAAAATTCTCGTCTTTGTGTGCGCGTGTGTATCTGTTGCACAGCAAGTGCAGGCCATCGCCTGCGAAGAATCCTTGATTTATTTTTACTCTGGTTTTCTACCTAACTCAACAGTTGTTGTTTTTGTTGTCGCTGTTCTCGTGCGTTCTGTTGTATCTTCAAATACATATGCATGGGTGTATCTATGTGTGCCGTGGCACAGACAGTTTAAGAGCGGGAGAGGAAAACTTTCTCTGAGAATAACTCTCTATTTGTATGTGTGTTTGTGAGAGAGAAAGCAATCCGAGCAGGCGCTCACAGAGTTTATGTCTAGCTTCCGGTGGTGTTTTTCTTGTTTATCCATACATATGTATGCATGGATGTACCTTCCAGATGCATCTGTTCACAAAAATGTATTTCAAGGTCAGCCTAGGAAAACTTAAGGGAGGCTGACAACAGAAATAAATTTCTTCACATGCTCTTGTTCATGTATGCGTGTTGTGGAACTGCAGCTTGAAGCTGTTTCGTTTCTTAAGACCCTCACAGACATAATCATCCTGACTATCAACATTTTCCATCGAATTTTCCTGGAATTTATCCCACACAAATAGCTTCGGAGCCAGCCCTTAAAACTTGTGGGTCCTCATCGGGTCCTTCCCGTGCACATATATATGAATGCATACATATGCATTTGTGTGTGTGTTTAGGCTTTGCGAAGGCAAAGCCCAAAGAGGACACCGATAATGCAGGCAGGCAGTCGGACCTTGAGCGGCACGCATGCGCATTGCCAAATGGAAAAAATCAACGGAAAATCACGTGGGAAGCGGGACTGCAAAAGCCATTTGACGTCCACTCGCACCAACACACAAGAGATTCAGGCAGACAGGCGGCAGTCGGGCAGGCAGGCAGACGAGAATGGGAAACTTATTTTTAGAAAAACACACACAGAAAACAAACGATCCATCCTGATTTATGTGTATACAGTGTCCGTCCCTCATTCTGGGTTTTGCGTGGGTGAACAAATCATAGAGTAAGAGAGAGAGAGAGAGAGAGTGGGAGAGAGTCAGCGTCAGAGAGCGTTGCGAGTACAGTTAGTTTGTGGTTGCCCAGAATCTGTATGAATTGAGATTTTTGCACTTCCCTTCCCCTCTCAGCCATTGCCATCCCTCTTGGGTCTGGCTGAAAACTATTGTTAATAGAACCTGTTTGAAAAAGGATTATATCCTTATCTTCATCTTTTTTGTTGAAACCTGAATCTGATTGTGTTTTTACATTGAAACGATCTTAGGATCTATGCGTTTACTTGCCTGTTCGATCCCCACCTTGATACTCCTTTGGTAGCTTATTATATTCAGCAGTTGAGCGAATTTCTGCGAATAAAATAAAAAAGAAATAATAACATTAATGAAATAATAATTTAAAGTATAAATAAATAATACTAACCATTGTAGAAAGAATAAAACGGAGTTCATTGAAACTAAAAAAATGAAAATAAAGAAAGCCATAATTAATAGTTTTTAAAATATGTTTTACTAAAATATTAATATATAGTAAAACGATAAATGTATGCGTATACGCTTAAGATTTGTTTATTTTTATTAGCAATATGTAGAAAAGTTATTAGATTAGATTGGACCTGGTTTTATATACTATACCGACAATAAAAGTGGTAAAACTCCCCTCTCTAATACCTACATTGTACATATGTATCTAACTATTGTAATGAATTTAATTTTTAGATTTATCTGAAGGCAACTAAATGCTTTTCAAGCAACATTACTCTGGTCTTAATAATTAAGCGAGTTTTAATTTTTGGTGCATCCTTAAATATAGAACAAGTTCTTGTATTTTTGGTCTCTTCATTTCAATTTGGTACGATTTCTTTTATCAAAATATACAAAATGATCCTGGAATCCAATTTTCTTGACGCATCATCCGGGGATGCTCAAACTAAATGAGAACCGAGTGCTCCTTGCGCATGTGCTCGTTGAGGAAGGCCTGGGAGCGGCACACTCGAGCGCAGAGCGGGCATCGGTTCGCTTCGTACTGGGGGAAGCGCTTGGCGCTCTGGCGTGGTAGCTCACGGCCCGGCACTAAGCTGGTGGTGTCGATGGGTAGTTTCTGAGCAAGATAGTGCAAAGACCGGGCCGACGATATGGAAGCCAGCTGTTGCAATGCTATCATGGCATCTGAGTTGCTGGCCAATGACTTCTTGTTGCCATTTTTGCTGCAAGTGCCGACACGGTTCGTCGGCTCTTCGTTCTCGCTCTTTTGCTCCAGCGTCAGCGTCGGCGAAGTATTGGCTGAGTTGCGCTCCCTGGCTCCCACCTTTGGCAATGGCCTGGATGTGCTGGCGGCGGCATAGTCCGACTGGAGGCCCAAAGATTCCTGGGTGCGCAGGTTATATTTTCTCTCAAAAACCTCTGCAACGAAAGGAAATGGTTTGGGAAATCAAAATAAAAAATACAAATCATAAGCTCAAACAACTGCATTCGCTAAAACTAAAATTTTGTAACGAAATAATGTGGGAAACAATACTATATTAAGCTACGCGACCCACAAACATACATACACACACTCACGCAGTTGCACCCTCACACGCATGTTCAGAAATCTATAAGGGACTCAAAAAAGAAATTTCGTTTATTTTACTCGTAAAAGAAATTAAAGACTCTGAGGAAGGAACTGAATAAACTGACTTAAATTGCAATCAACGATTCTTTCCTTTTCGTCTATTTATTTACAAAAGTCATGGTTTTCCGAGTTTGGCAATAACGAGAACTTGTCTATAATATGCATAATAATTGTTAACAAAACTTAAATGAACTCCTCCTCATGCTCCACTTTTATCTCAGACGTATAGAGGTATAGAGACTCGAGTTCTGTTGCTGCCGTCGCTTCTACTCCTGCTCCATCTGCAGTCTGTTTTGTGGTTTTGGCCTTCGGCTTTTGCTTGTGAATGGCTGGCTCTGCCGCCAGCTCGGCATCGTGCAGCTTCTTGTGGCGGTTCAGATGGGATCGCCGCTTGAACCACTTAAGGCAGTAGTCGCACTGGAATCGCTTAAAGTCCTGACACTCCTCGCGCTGGTGCAGTGACAGACGATTCATCGTGTTGTAGTAGCGTCCGCACTGGCACAGTAGCTGGTTCTTGGGACCGTGCCGCACAAAATCTACAGACAGACATAAACAGAAACAGAAACAGGATGTGGTTGGTTTTTAGGCCTCTGCATATATCTATCACACAAAGTACAAGGGTTCGATTCACTCTAGTTCTGGTGATTTTGGTGATGAATACAACAAATTCTTTTCAGTTTGACATTTTTATTGGCTGATAAATGATTGGACTACTTAGCACTAGCAATCAGTATGAATACTAATATATGTAAATATGAATAGACCTTTTTAGTTGGTGCAGCACTCTGCAGTCCTATCTGCAAATCCTTCCGCCTCGGCATAGTACAGTCCACGGGTCATGGTCCTAAATAGAGAGAGAGAAGCATATTAGTTTTTGATGTTTGGTTTAGTCGCGTAGTTCAGATCGATAAATAAATGTCTTAGATTCGATTGTAAACATTTATTTATTAGTATTTATATTACTTTCATATACAAGGTTAATACGCAGTGGTTGGGTTAGGGTTTTAAATATTACTTGTGTATGTATCGATTTTAAAATACTTATACGTTGAGCTAATTCAAAATTTGATTCTACAATACATATTGAGCAATTCAACTAGATCTTGACTTGACTTGAGAGTTTGATCGTGACTTAGTCCACTAGCTTAAACGTATGTGATTACACTTTGAGATCGTAACTTTGGCTATATTACAAACTTGTTACAGACTACACGAATTTAGGGTTTAATTACTCTTTGGATTCATCACACATTTCACACAGTAACACAACAACAAATGCTAAACAGACTAGAATTCATGTAACCGTACAGTTCCATAGACCTAATTTCCCATATGAAGCGTCTCCACGGAATCAGAATGCTTCTGGTTCATATGCTTACGTAGATCCGACTTGTATTTACACTTGTGCGGACAGTGCGGACATTTGAGGGCGGGCTCCACCCCGCACTCGTAGTTCTTGTGCCGCTTCAAGGAGCCCTTGATCTTGTAGGTCTTGCCGCACACATTGCAGGCAAACTTGCTGTCGTCCAACCCAAACTCATTTGAAACTTGTTGAAGAGTCATGGTTGTGGCAGCATGAAGGGTATTTCCCAGCCCATTAATATACAACTTATCGTGATGCACATGACTCTCCTCATCGCCGTGCATCTTCTCCCCGTACTCGTCGTCCAGCATGCTCTCGTGTGAATCCACCTTCATCGCAGCTAGTTCCAGTTCACGCTCGGCGTCATCCGCATCGGCTAACAAAAGGCCAGAATCATGACTGGATACCACAGCAGTGCTGGCCATACTGGAAGGTGCCATTGATATGCTAGTGGCTCCATACTGCATCACATCGCGCAGGAGCATCTTATCCTCCAGGCGAGAAGTGTCTATCTTGATGTACTCCTGTCGGGCCTGCGTCTGCTGGATCGTCAGCTGGTGGCGCTGTGACTGCTGCTGTTGCTTCACTATCTGTATAGTGGTTGCCTGGGGCTTGTGGAGCAGGCTGGTGGTGTTTGTGTTCGTGGTGGCATTCTTTGTAAGTGCTGGTATCGTGTACTGGATGTTGCCCACTGGATTGCCGAGGTCATCGGGCGGGAGCTCCACTACAACAGTGGCCCCCGACAGAAGTCTTGATCCTCCGCCATTGCTTAACCCGGCGCCAGTGCTGAGAGTCTGGGTGGGGGATTGGGCTCCAGTCGAACTGGAAATTGAGTAGGGCACTGTTTCCAGAATGGTCCAGTAGCCATCTGCAAAGAGTGTGAAGCAACAGAAGAGGTTAGTTAGTAAGACGCTAGCCGAGTCCCTCAAGGATCTGGAATATAATTACTTGTAGCATTAACAAGTGTCTCAGCTGGCTGCTGGACCCGTCCAATATGTTTTGGGATTGGTGGAGTGTGGGTTCAGGGATGGTGTGGATTATAAACTTGGGCTTGTTTGGGTTTTTTGCTGTAACGCATATATGATTTTGTTGCTTTATTCTTAATCGCTTGCATTTACAATATAATAAAAAGTACACAAATTCTTGGTTAACTCGTACTCTGATTTTGTTTTGTAGAACCGATAACTATATTTATAGGCGTATATGTAGGTACATATGTTAGAATTTTAAATGTACAACTGAGGAATATTCATGTTGAAAAAGTGGCAAATAAATGGCGCTTTAAGTCTTTGATTGCTTCACATGCGAAAGCCCTAATTGCTGGCAAGAATATTTGAGTTTGAGAACACCAACCACACTAGAACTAAGTATATATGTTTTCCATATGTCTGCATATGGGGCTATGTATTTATATTTACTCGTATATGGTGCATGTACGTATGGGTGTATGTATTTAAATAAAATGGTCTTGGACCGATTCGGCTAACTTAGGCATAACTCAACATAAAGAAAGTAAAACGAGAGAGTTAAAAAGTTAAAACGGAATGCGCTCAGAGAAATTGTATGTAAGTTAAAAGTTCTTTAAGTAATTTGTGCAGGAATGTGGCTGGGAGGCTGGGAGTGCCACAAGGCTGGGATCGATTGGTTGGTTGGTTTGTTGGTGGGTGCGGGCACAGGCACAGGCACAAGTACGCGTTGGAGGTAGCTACTACTTGGACAAGCAACTATTGTCATTATTCATTTGGTAAACATTTCACATTACGCCTCTCGAGATGCTGCTCATCGGGTCAGCTTCATTAGCCATCATCGTCGTAGTCGTCGTCGTCCTCGTCGCTCTCCGGTATGGGCACAGCCGTGATGGTCAGATCGCGACCAGCAAAGTCAAAGTTGATTTCACACAGTGCTGCGGCCAGATCGCTGTCCATTCCCCCAACATCGTTATCACCATCATCAGCATCGCCGTCCCCATCGCCGTCGCCATCGCCATCGCCGTCGCCAGTTGCCTCGTCGTTGCTCATGTCATCCTCATTCCGTATCACATACAGGCTTTCCTCATCGTCGCGAGACTGCTCATAGAGCATGCAATGCTTGCGCTTGGCGTGGCGCAGCACGTGATCCTTGCGGCGCGAGCGGTACTCGCAGGACACGCACTTGTACTTCTTCTGCTTGAGGCAGTACTTTCGCACGTGCTCCTGCAGTTTCTGTGGCGACTTATAATAGCGGTTGCAGTGCTTGCACTGCATGAAGGAGTCGCGGGAGATGCCCGCACTGGGATTGGAGGCACGCAGACTGCTGCTCTGATTGTGGCTCGTTGTGGTGGCGGCATTGGTGGCGTTAGTGTTGGTGTTGGCATTAGTTCCACTGCTATTGTTGTTGAGATAGCCATAGTAGTCGTCGTGGCTGGCGGTGGCACTCGTCGAGGTTTCCACGCCCAGGAGACTGCCCAGTATGGGATAGATGTCTGCTGGTCAGCACAGCACGGAGGTGTCAAAACAAAAAGGAGAACGAAACAAAATCAAATTAATGGCTGGCAAGCAACTGATCAAACATCAACTTAAGCTATGTAGAAATAGTTTAATAAAATAATATAGAGATCTTAGTGTTGTGTGGCTACTACCCAATAGGCGCCGATGATCATGATGATTTTGATGATGAAGGCGATGGTGGTGACTGTTGTTCGTGGTGGTGTTTCATTGCGGTTGATGGAGTTTAGCGGCGTGGGGGACGGATGATGGTGATGGTGACTGATAATGATGGTGTGTGGTGACGTTATGGTATGGTTGACACAATCCCCAGAGAGCTACATGTATGCACATAGACAAAAGCCACTCAAGCATTTCTATAAACAAAAACTTGAGAATATATACAGAACAAAAGAATAAATCACAAAATCAGATGTTGGTGTTGGTGTCGTTGGTGGGATTTTCAAAACTACAACAATACAGCAAATCAAATTACATTTATCATATATTTTGTGTGTTATATAACTATGATCTGTTCACTCTTCAATACAATATCAATGTCAGGCATGTGAGGGCCACCCAAGGGTCTTCTGTCTCCTTGAAGTCGATCCATTATTATCCACCTAGAAGAAGAGAAAAATCTATATTAGTTCAGGGTTTTTAAAGAGTTTCACTTGATAATGGCTGGACCAGGAAACTAAGAGGGAGAAATGGAAATCGTCAAACAGATTTATGAATTTTTGCAGTTTTTTTTTCTATCATTTAATATATTTTTTAATTTACTTTTATTTGTTGGTTGGTTTTTGCCTGTTCACTTATAACAATTAGATCGTTTTACTTGTTTAACATTTAAAATAGTTTCACAAATTTTGTTTAAGGCGTTTCTCGGCTTTATACACAATTACATAATTAAATTTACTCTGAATTCGTACTAGATTTAATTCGTTTTGTTAAATTGGTTTAAGCACACTTTTCATAGTCTAACTGGCATTTTGAATGTCCTTCGTTTCGTTAGATTTTTTTACTGTGTAAATATATTGGTATCTCTTCTCCATTCGTTAATCTAAATTGCAGTGCAAAAGCAATTTGGTTTTCGTTATGTATACATTTCATTTTAGTTTTCTGTTTTCATTATTTTTTTTTTTTTTTTGTAAATTTTTTTTCTTGGCGCAAACTAAGCTATGGTACATTGGTTACAACTCGAATCGGTTGGTGTTTGATGCTTCTTATTTTCAACATTAACAATTCGTAAGGCGTGCGTCAACAGCAATAACATCCATTTCTCATTTGTTTAATTTTTCCTTTTTTTAACCTATGGATAATATATTTACGGTGTGCTTTGAATTTAGTTCCCAATTTTCGTTTCACTAGATTTTTGCAGCAATAGAAGAAAATAATAGTTTACGAACTAAAGAAATAACGAATAGAAAATGATTCTTAATAGAGACAAACAAAATATCCGATTTTCTTCAGTTATATATGTGTGTTGTTTGTATTATGTTTGTGTGTTGAGTGTGTGAGTGTTTGTATGTGTGTGTGTGTTTGAAAAGAAAGCCCTTCTCATTTCCGTAACCGACCTATTGCCCTCCCAATCTGCGATCTCCCTTGCTCCGATCTGATCAGATCTGTTCCTTGCTTCGTTTCGCTTCGCTACGTTTCAATCACAATTAATCACATCGATCCATATATATGCATACATATGTGTATGTATGTATGTTTTGTTTTGTTTGTTTGTATGTATGTAGCTATCTATATATACATAGATATATGTTTCTTTATATATAATTTTACATTCACAGCTCCTAGTTTACAACGTTTTAAAAATGTGTATTTTGTGTGTGTTTTGGATGTTTTTAAATCTTTGATATTAATTATGAACAGAAATAATAAGAATACATTAATAGAAAAAGAGTTATCTGGGTTAGTACAAGTTCTCGAAAAATATTTCACTTTTTCTTGGATGTATGTGTCTATGTTTTACATACAATGGTACGGCCAGGTAGTATCTTTTCGCAATAGGCCTCCCACCCATCTAAATCTGCTCAAACTTTGATGGTTGCCTATGTGCTAGCTGTCTGTATTGTGTTTTGTTGGTGTGTGTAAGGGGGTTTGTGTTAGTAAATTGTTTTTCTTTTTTTTGTTAATCAAATTATATAGAAATTTATCACATGCTTTTCTTTACACTTTAACTATACGACTCGAAAGCTTGCCATTATGGACCACATACGAGTATGGTATTTTCTTTTTCATTTCTCTTGTACGAGTATATGGGTCAATTCGAGTCCATCACATGCGCTGTTGATAAATTATAAAATAGGTGTGACGGATGGACATCCATCTTCTTCCCTTATTGTTTTTTTTTTTTTTTGTTTGTAACGTAAAAATTAGATGTTTCCGCTTAGAAAAGTAGTTAAAAATATTATGTTGTACAGATAAATAAGAACCACAACCTTAATAGACAAAAAGTTAAATAAATCGCGATTGGATTATTGGTTATACAAAAAAAAAAAGGATACATATTGTGAAGTTCGTGAAGTGCACATCGATCTTCGTGTTCTATAACAAATGATAAACAGAACTCTAGAATCTGACTAGCGCAACAAGGCGACTTGAATATGCATATGTATATAAATATTAAACCAAGCAGAAAACCAATGGAAATCTTTTGAAAATTGTCAACGAATTAAAATTTGAAAATTTCCTCAACTAATTCGAATACTGACCGATATGAATTTTGTTTTTTGTTTTTTTTATGATTTTTTATATTTTTCTGTCAACAATTTGAACAAATTTGTTGTATTCGCATATATATTTTGTGTTGGTATTGTGCCAGTTTGTTGTCTGTAGATTAATTTACTTTATCACATTTTTTTTTGTGTCGCGAGAACTGCTGATCCGACAACAAACTGCGGTATGCGCCCCTCTGTTTGTTTGCTATTTTGTATGTTTTACATTTTTTTAATTATTTGAATTTGTAAATTTGAATTTAAAATTGTTTTTCTATTTATGTGTTAGGGGTATTAGGATGAAGTACCTAAGCAACTCGATTATACGATTAAGCTCTTTCATTTGTATATTAACAATTATAAAAATGTTAGTGTGTGTGTGTGTGTGTGTGTGTGTATGACTATGTGTCTGTGTGTGAGTGTGTGAAACAAACTCTGTCGATTTCTATAATAACTATATATAATCGTAATCGTAATCGTATCGTTTTAGAACAAGGCTTCTCTGCAGCATTCACTTCGCGCGTTTCTCAATTTTGACAACAAAATAATTATGTTAAGAGAAAATATACAATGTTATGATTACTATTAATTACAATGAGGACTATATTCTTTATATCACATACCAATTTATTTTTCTGACTGTGACTCGATGCGAGTTTCCCCAACCCATTTACATTGCCAATTCCCTCTTTCCACCCTCTTCCATGCATCCCTCCTCGAACTTGTACATGCTGCTTTAATGTTATTTAAAAATAATTAATAACTGATTTTTGTTTCGTCCTAAAATTGTTTGCCTTGTGTAGAGAAGCGCCCCCGCCCAAAGCCACACTTAT